AGACCTTGAGAAAACACTGAAAAAAAATTGGAACATGAAAGTAGCAATTTACCCATCATTATTGGCACACTTGCAACAGTCGCAGAAACCCTTACAAAGAGAACGTGAAATCAGTAGAAGAATCAATATTATCCGAATGATTGCATTATTAAAATCAGCTGGAATACTGGGAAAAATGCCAGAGTATTGAGAAAGCTTGCTGTCATTGGATCTCTGTGAAACCCGTGAATAATAATTAATAATAATAATGACAGCAACAACAATTATTAATAGAATGTTCAGAACAAAAAGAATAAAAAAAAATAAAAAAAAATAAAAAACTGAAAATGAAGGAATGATCTAGAACAATGCAGACAATGGTATTGTTGAAAACAGCTCGGATACTGAGAGTTAGGATATTGATTTAAAACTAATAATCAGGTGGTTTGCAGTTCGTTTGGTTGTCTCTCTTTTATTATGACGGTTTTTTTTAAATCTAAGTTTTAAAAAAAAGTACGTAGTGTTGGAAACGCTTCAAAATCCTCTCATTTCTAAATAATTTTCATTCATAGTTTTTTTTATCCGCAAACAATTATAACGAGTGTAAAACTGTATTAGAAAATTAATTTTCAATTAATTACGATAAAAAAGCCATTATTAAATAAATGTTAGCTACCCGTTTTTTTTAATCTATTAAAAACAAGGAAGATGACAATGACTGATAATGTTGATAACAAGGAAGATGACAATGACTGATAATGTTGATAACAAGGAAGATGATAATGACTGATAATGTTGATAATAGGGAAGGTAGATGACCGAAAAAAAATCTGTCGGAATTTCTGGGATGAGGAGTTATTATTATTTACATCACTTATACGTGGACAGTTTTCTTCGTTTTTGTTGTTACGATCACAACGTTACGGTCGTCGTTGTTCCCGAATGGCCTTCATCAGGTGCTTGTCGATCCGAGTGATCTGCAGGGGCAGATTTTTCAGTTCGCCTACGTCGCTGCCGAATGTGACGGAAGGTCGAAGTTTAAAGTCGGTTTACGGCAATACCGTGAAAAAAATTGCTGAAGACCCCTCGGCAGCTCCCTCCCGAAGAAGAGGTACTACCCGGGGTATGTCTGGTCCCGGGAATCCCAGCCCTTCCTCGTTGCACTAAAAGAGGGAGGGTCGGTGGAATATCGATGCAACCCCACATTAAAATCTACCTTGTTTCCCTTCTTTGCCACCTTGTAGGGATGAGTAAATAACCGTTCCCTCGCCTGACCAGAGTGTAGCATCTATTCTCTTTTTTTATAAACTTCTTGAGGAAGACTAGTCCCGAGGAGTCTAATCTGGTGGCAGCACTTAACTCATTGCACTAAATTGAAAAAGTTTGTTGATATCAATGCCAGCGTAACAGTAGTCACGGGGACTGGGCAGTTTTTGTCCGTGGCCCGTATCTACGCATATAGACTCTCCACAGTAAACCGACCTTTTATCAAATCTAACCATACTTACTAACTGGGATTAGAGTGTAACATTTGTTCTATTTCCTCTGCCGTGTTCCTGTACTGTGTTGTTGTACGCAGTACCTTGTTCGTTTTTTTTTTGTACGTTCACAGCGATACAATAAGAGAACCTTGGTCTGAAGAAGGTGGCGACACCTTCTACCATTTCGTCAATGGGGGTTAGGATCTAATTTGACAAAAACGTGAGAGTAATCGCAAAAACTGGACAAATACTGTCCTTTGCTCATACAACGTATGGGCACTAGAAATAAAAACAAATTATATGTTGCATCATACAACCATGCGAGGAATCGTCGGTAACTAGCAGAGTAGTGTAGTAACTGTGCAATCTATTAAAAGTGCTACACAATAAGTACATATATACGAAGATGGGCTGAAAAGCTTATAGGTTGACTATGAAGGAGTGATGTTGGAGCTGTGAAATTTTGTATATATTTATTTCAACACTTCTTATTAATAACTGCGTTGTTTCTTTCCAGGTAAACTGACATTTAACTGTTCAAAGAAGACTTCAAAAGTAACTATATATATATATAGAAAGAGAGAGATATGCATATATACAGAGAGAGACACGTTGCGTTTTATAGATGCGGTTTTTCAAAGATAATCAATCGATCCAATGACAACAGATTGCAGAGTTGGCACATTGGATCTTTCAAGGTAATAGAGTAACCGTCTTCACTCCAAGTTACATGCGGCAGGATGTACTAGGTTACATGATAGTAGATAACGTGACTTAGTGGAAAAAGTGGGTTCATGGGATGATTTTTGAACGGGCAGATTACCTCTCTGTCATAACGGGTAAAATCCCGGTGGGCCAATGTGTATGTCGTCGGTGCCAGTTGGCGCCGCATCATTAAGCTGATGACCTGATTAGCCTCTTCAGTGTTTGCCAAAGCCATTTTCGGTTCACAATTAATTCCTGGATATGAAGTGAACATTAACTTAACTGCAATTTGGACTCATTTTGCGCACAGTGAATTGTTCTATCAACAATGCATTTCTGGGTTTTAATTAAATTGTTTAATGTAAAATAATAGGATTAACCATAGCTTAAGAAAGAAACGAAAAACATTTCAATATTAGAGATATGCAAAAATAAATAAATAAATAATAATAATAATAACTCTTTAAAAAAAAAGCAACATATCTGGGGGACGATGAAAAGTTCTCGGTCGGACACCCTTCTCAAAATCTGACGAAATAACCAAACATCAGATTTTGTTCGGGTATAGAACTTTTCAGCATTGTCTCCTATTATATTAAGTGTTACTTATTTACTTGCATAATACCCGTAAAATATAACGCGATTATCTACAGATAAATCGGAAATTCTGCCAAGAATCAAATTAATCTCGATGCACTGTGTGAAAAATGTTACATATATATATTTCTTCCCACTAGGCACATAGACTTTACTGACGTTAGACAGAACAACACACACACACACACACACACACACACACACACACACACACACACACACATATATATATATATATGTATATATATAAAACAATAACTCATTTCTGATAGCATTTTTCGGATTACAACAACACATATATTTTCGTTGTCCTCTCATTACTGAGAGTAAAAACAAGAACAAAATCTATTCCATACCTGAGGATGTCTGTAGGAACAGACGAAAGCTTGTAAAAATAATAAGAACTTATGCAACAGAAATTTATAAAAACAAGGATCTTTTCATTCATAAACAGGTTCGGGGTTTTGTATATTATTTGAATTGTTCGCGACGATGGATTTCTCGCCAATTAAATCATTAACCTTTGTATTTGTTTTTTGTATGAATAATTCATGAATTTGTAAATATATATATATATATGTATAATATATATATATATATATATATATATATATATATATATATATATATATATATATATATATATATATATATATATATATATGTTATTTGTTTGTAATGTTTCTAAGGGAAGATTCTTTGGTGAGTTATTGTCGCTGAGGATGAGGTTCGTCCTGTTTATAGCTACCATGCATTTGATTTCTATAGAAAATTTTATTTCTTTATAATGGTTTTAAATTACCTGCAAGAATTTTCCCTAAGAAACATTATAAAAAAATTAAAACATTTTCTATAGAAATCAAATGCATGGTAACTTAATGAACTTCATCGTCAACGATAATAACTCACCTGCAAGAATCTTTCCCATATATATATATATATATATATATATATATATATATATACATACATACATATATATACATACATATATATACACATATATATACACACACACATATATATATATATATATATATATATATATATATATATATATATATATATATATATATAGTTTTAAGCTATAGTTTCAATGCTATATTTATGGGTTAAAGTGCTCAATATCAGGGATAGAAATGATGTAAATATAAAAGTGGACATTGAAGTCAACACCAAGAGGCGACAGTCTGTTTCCTGCTAAACGCAATGGATTGTGTTTAGCATGAAACAAACAGTTGCCTCTGGGCGCTCAATTCAATGTCCACAAAACACTGAAGTGGGCGATTGAACATTTAATTTATTGGCTATAAATATATCGTTTTTATGTAATAAGTAATACTGTAAAAAACAGTGCTCAATGTAAAATATTAAAAATATATATATATATATATATATGCTAAATCAGACCGACTACATTTTATTAAATTTTATTAAAATGTAGTCAGTCTGATGAGGAGGCATATATATATATATATATATATATATATATATATATATATATATATATATATATATATATATATATAATACGAAGTATGACTATTTATTAATTAATGTTCATGCCAGCTGAAACTTTATTGCAGCTTTATAGCTCGAGCCTCATAATACTTCAAAGCAGTATTTGGATACCTATTTTAATAAATCTATAAAATATAAAGAACAAATCATGGTCAGTAATAGTGAAAATGGAGCAAATAAAAATAGTAATAAAATGATAGACTTCAAAACAATTAGCTTTTAAATTAAATGTAAAAAAACAGGACGATCAGCACTAAACAGGAACTAGACATGATCAGCAGAATGAGAACATTCTATCCTCATAAATTAAATAAAGGGTTAAGTTCGAAATTCACTGAAGGTCGCCTGAATTGACATGCACCTCTCGGGCACAGTAAGGGACACGTTGTCATAACAACAATAAAGATGAGGAAAATACATGTAAAATGTAAATAATATACATAACTCCTCATTCCAGAAATCCAGGTAGAATGTAACTATTACGCCAAATGACAATAAGTCAATATAGATAAGTTCAAAGTGTACGTTTCTTAATATTGGTGGAGAGAGTTTTGAAAACTGACTTAGCAAAAGTAGATAATACTAAAAAAAACAAATAGCTAACGTAGATTTGTTTAACTATATCTCAACTAAATTATTGTGGATTTTATAAGAATAGTCATCAGTCTCTTAACGCAGCGAATTAAAGCGAATTATTTAGATAATTACTACACAGGCTTACGACCATATCAGGTTGAAACACCAGTTCCCGTACGATCATCGAAGTTAAGCAAAGTCAAGCCTGGTCACTACCTAGATGAGTGCCTGCTTGGAAATACCAGGTGCTGTAAACTTGGATGTGCAGCTTGTGTAATGGCTAATAGCTCAGAATTGTTAACCGGAGAGCCGAGTTTCAATTCCCGTTGGGTTCGTTATATTCACTTAAGCGCAAATACCCTTGGGAAAGGCATGAATACACCACTTCCCCTCGGCTATGGGTTAATTAGTAAGACCTGTATTACTAAACCATTATTATCTCCCCCCCCGTTCCCACCCAAAATTCTCACAATCTAAAATATTTTCTGGCTTTAAATAACTTTAAAAGGGTTGATAAGCCGTAAAGAACGAATCAATCAATCAATGACAAATATAGACTTGGGGCGGCGTTGTTCTCCCTTTAATTCATATGGGACACATTCATTCAGATTGTTTTAAATTATTTGCAATGTCTCCTATTGATATAATGAATTTTACTGTGAAGACTTTGGGTGATTTTTTTCAGTCAGTACAAACTTTCGATCTTTATCATAATCGATTGATTGACTGATTTGGCCGAACTCTCTCCTAATTTTCTCACTTTCGAATTTTAAAACTAAGCTCTCGTTGTTTATCCACTAACAGCATTGTTTCAAATTGCTGAATTTAGGAAACAAGGAAGAACTCATAGAAATACTTGAGATCAGCCCGAAATACATCCAGGGATTTTGAATATCTAATCAACTGGTTACGCGGCCTTGATATAATTTAACAACCCATCAGAAATTACATCACTGCGCATGTGCTAACAAACATCCTACCATCGTGTGATTCAATCGGTAATGAGATGCCAGTGAGTGAACTTATGTACTCTGTGGCCGATTAGTTCAAAACGATCGAGTGGGTCGCTTGTTCCAGATTTGTACAAGTTCTTTTTTTACCATATATCACATCACCGGTTTCTTTCAGCCTCTCTACACTCAAGATTTGATACTTTACGACATGGCTAAAATCAAAATTGAAACCTCGTGGACAAGATTAAAGGGGACGTGATGTGACAGCTGATGTTAATCCCGGAAAAAGATCGTTGGTATTATCGGAATGAAAGATTATACATTATAATTTGAAGCAGTCAAATTGTTCTTTCTTTCCCCCAGAAGCTGTAACTAAAGTCTGCCCAGTATAGTTTCAGAATAAACAACAGTTTGGCTTTGTGAGTGTTGAATAAACGCCAAAAAGTACAAATGTTCCTCAGCAGGCGTCTGCAAACAGGGATAAACTAACCAGCTTAATAGATAGGTATACTCGGATACGAGTAGCCATTCATTACTAATCATGGCGGACAAATAATCGTAAAGTCATCAAAATACATTATAGCTTGAAAAAGTGAAGATGCGAATCCCAAAATATATCTGGAGCACTTCTGAGTCGAGATATTGCCAGAGTTTCAATCATTCTTGTATTAAAAGTCAAGATAAGAGTAGCGTAAATAATACTTTTGAAAAAAAAAAAAAAAGAAAGAAAGAAAGAAAGAAAGAAAAAAGACAATACAGTAGTTCTTAATGAGTTTTTTTTTTCAATTCACCCCAAGCAAAGCGATAATGTTACTAAGACGCAAGAAGTTGCAGGAAGTGAAAGAGAAGGAAAAGGCCTTTGAATTAACGGAGACGTTAGAATTATAGAGTTGAAGTAGACATTAGAAGGAACCAGAAACTCAATCCTAATCAGGAAACAAAACCTCTACATCTGTTCAAAAGACCAGGGAAGAGTGTGAACCGGGTGATAGGCGAACCTCTCTACTACAATTAATTGCGGAAGGCAATTTGGTGGGTGCGAGAAGAGGGTGCCAGATAAGAGTTTTTTTTTGTTTTGTTTTATTATTTTTAAAAGAAGAAATCGTTCACATAAAAATGTAACCGGGGATCAAAATAGACTTTATAGTTAAATCAGGAGAAATAAGATCCAAACATTTTCAAATTCAGAAAGAAATGTCTTTAAGTAGTACTTTAAGTTCATTAACTATCTTTAAGTAGTTCTTCACATTGTGGCTATATATCTTTGCGACCTAGGATTTTAGTCCCTACATCATCTGAAACAAAATTCAGATACTGACTCCAAAATGTTCATCATGACAGCCGGATCGCATTCAGCACCAAAACACCATGCATTTTTTAAACGAATTTACTCAAAGTAAAGCCATTAAGACACAAGGGGTTGCTGTGTGTCAAAGAATTAGAAAACAGAACCATTATTAAGGCGAGAGAACAATAGCGATGTAACCAGGAAGACAATTGATAACGATTGACATTGCATTTAAATTTTTGAAGATCAAAGTTGGCTGGAAATCATGGGGCCGGAATAGAGTTTCACAAGAGAGTAAAGAAACTGTCAGCATAGAAGTTACGGTTACATTCAGCCAACCCAACTGTAAATTGATGAGACCTCGTCCCTACTCTAGTATTGCTCTTAAATTCAAAAAATTTAGATAGCATAGCTCATCTGAACAATTACAATTAAAATATTTAGAGAATAGGCACAGGGAAGCAACTTTACGGCGATGGGAAAGTGACTGAAGCCGAGATGCCAGGTCAGGACCGATAATATTGCTTTCTTCTTTGGATTTTATCAAGAACTAGCAGTAGAGCCCGGCGTTGCCCGGGGATGTAACAGTAAGAGATAGATCAAGTATCGACCATCATAAAGACTGAAAAATAAAATTGACAAAGATTATTGTTTAAGGTTGACGGACACGCATGTCTTAATTAGTTTTTTTTGTTTTTTTTACGAATTGGTCAAACCCAAATTCAAACAAAAAACATTGTTTACAATCGTTATGAGTCTATCGATTGGTGAATAGAATTTTATTATAAACAATTGTCTTGTAAATGGAATTTTTAAAGCATTCTGAATGTAAAAATAAAGAAAAATGTGTGCAAGACAATAAGAAACACTACCTGCCAAAATAAAGTGATGTTTTGTTGAAATCGGTTGAAAAATGTAGGTAGCCTTTCTCTGTAATCTTTTACAATTTATGATTTTTACTTATTGAATACAGTAAAAAAAATTGCATATTTTGCTTGTGGTGATTCATAATTAGAATTCTGATTTGAATATATTTTCCACTCGTTTCTAATACAAAAAATATTAACTTTATTTGGGTTTATTAATTTATTACAAGTAATGTGTTCTTTCCTTAATAATTATCATCTTCGAAATATTGTTGTTTTTTGTCTATCAGATTTCTGACGTCGGCATTTTTAAATTATTTCTTAATACTTTCTTTTAAATATTGAATTAATTTCAAATAGAACCAATGCAACAAATTGCAAAGGGAATTGTAAAGACGACCCTAACGTACGTGGAATTATCTTTCCCTAAAGATAAAGAATTATCCGATTTTTCGATTCGTACAATCAGTAGAGATCGTTAGATTACTGTTTAGGTTGACGGACACGCATGTCTCAGTTTTTTTTTGTTTTTTTTTACGAATTGGTCAAACTCAAACAAAAACATTGTTTTCAATCGTTATGATGAGTCCCCGATTGAATAGAATTAGAATTTTATTATAAACAATTGTCTTGTAAATGGAATTTTAAAGCATTCTGAATGTATAAATAAAGAAAAAAAAAAGTGCAAGACGATAAGAAACACTACCTGCCAAAAAAAGTGGATGTTTGTTTTATCGGCTGAAAAATGTAAGAAATCCGATCCCATATATAAAGGAACAGACACACACACAAACAACCTGGGTTTTTAACCTAAGTCACTCCACGGAATCAAGCTAAAACATAGAGCATAGTCTGATGAAAAGACGCTAAAGTTTATGAAAACAAAATTTTATCGTCAAAATGCTTGTTTTTATGAAGAGGATAGACTAAATTTTTTTTTATTTATTTTTAAAATTTTTTCCATCTTTTAGAATATTCTAAATTTTGATTTAAAAAACCTTGTTTCTCTTTGTCGCAACAAGGGGTAGTAAATAACATAGATAATTTTTAGCGCGTTTTTTTTGTATTTACACACATTAATTTGGAAAATCTTGCAAAAATAAAAATAATTGTCAGATGTTAATGAAACTTTCAGAAACTATTCACAGATGATCGAAATTATTATAAATATGTTTTTTTTTTATTAAAGTCATGGCAGAAATATTTTTTTTATATTTATTATCACCCCCATAACTAATTTTATGAAAAACTCTAGAAATTCGAGACCATCGGTTTTAGTGATTACAATAGTTAAAAGCACAAGGCTTTGAAGAATGCAAATCATGTTTTTTTTTTTTTTTTATTTGGCCAACGTACCTGAAAATCAGCTATGAATTGTAACATACAAAACTCAATAAAACAAATATATTATTTGGTTTCAAATGCTTTTATTTGTTTTAATTTGTTTTTATGAATATGGATATTTTCTGAAAGCAAAAATTTTTTTCAATGAAAATTGAATTTTTAATACAATTATTTCTTATTTCTTTAATTTTAAAAAGATTTTTAAAAAATTTTTAAATTGAATTTTTTAAAATATTTTAACATTAGTTAAAAGCAACATCAACCTTTCAAAATGTCCGTGTGAGATTGTCATTGTCTAGTGCTTTGAAAATTGTATAATTTGGACCAATCAGATTAGCCATGGTAATTAAGAAATGTAATTTTGTGTTTATAGTCGGACAGTAATTATCAAGTACGGAAGACCAACCAGAATACAATTTAGTTGCATTATTTGAGTTCAGCATTGTTCTCCGCTGTTAAGCCCTTTACTTTTGCGAAACACGTATGGAGAAGTTAATTTGAGTTTTCAATTTCAACTGAGAAGTGTACCTACAAGTAACAGTATCATCTTATGAAATTTAACTACTGCTAAACTTTAATTTATATGATCTTATTTTTATATTAATCTCAGTTATGACATTTTTCCATAAATGAAATATCAAAATTAATAATAAAATGAATGGAAATACAAATAACACAGTAAAATGTAATAAATGTACATAAATTTATAGTATTTTATGTACACTTCTGATAAAATTTCATAAGAAAGGTACCTAAATTAATTAGATACCTTTTTCTTATGACATTTAATCTCACTATTAACA